TTCTTCTCCTGCCTCTACAAAGCAGCCTGACTGGCAAGCCAGGGTAAGGCTGAGAGCTGCTGCATCTCCTAAAAGCATTTTTCACATGACAACTAAAAATCCAATAAAGCACATCAGGTCTCTATGTGTTCATTCTGTTTTCTGGTTTTAAGCAAATGGTGTTAGCCCATATTAGCAAACTGCTTACCTTTCTCTGCAGAGAGTTTGCTAACATCCATGGTTTTGTTTAGAACCTTAATGGCTAATGCCAGGGCAGTCTTTAAGGTCATTTCTCCTTCTTTGTAGTCTTGCTTCAGCATTGACACAGCTGCCTATAAATGTCACAGAAATCAGAACAATATCTTTAAGTCATCAACCAACAGTTACTTTTTACCAGACAGTGTCAATACATGAGCGTTTCGACAGTTATCTCTTTCTGCTCTGCGTTAGTAATCAGCAACTCAGTTTAATTAGCAGAGTGCAATTTGCTTTTTGCTTGATATTTTGAGAGGAAAACCAAAAAACCCAGACCAGAACTTACAGCACTGTTATTCCCAATGCACGTAGCCTTCCACCCTCCATAATTTCCACTCGGATCACTTTGATACAGCTGAAATCCATAATGCTTGTCCCAGCCAATATAGAGCAATGAAACACCAAAAGGACGTTTTCCTGTTGAAAAGAAGGCTGTTAGCGATCTAAATTTAGTCACCAGATTGGTCACGAGCAGCAGTTATTATCTTGGATTTCTTTCTCAAACCTATTCCTTTGAACTGGGATTTAACAAGACTCTTCTGCACTTCTGCTGCTCGAGATAAGCACGCCAGCATTTCCTTCTCAGGCGTGGGCTGGGGGCGGGCAGCACAGATTTAGTTCATTTAACCCTAAGAGCAGCTCATTTCTGTCCCCACAAATTGTAATTTATCATCCCAGAACTTTAAGTAAAGACTTTATATCTAAAGCATGCAGCTTAGCTGTTAAACCATGTAACTTAACAGGGTCAAAAGCCAGATACATAAAAAGGTCATTCTTTCACACTACATATGCGTAAAATACCGAAATCACCACTTCACCTATTGGGAAACTGTACTTGGGACATTATCTTCTAACACGTTGCTTGATTCACAGAAATGGTACTTTTTTAAGTGTCACACCATTGCTACCCCTGCAGCTGGTCTTGAGATTCATTGTGCCATTATGCTGGATAGGCCCAAAATACTCGAAGGTTACATAGCAAACAATTCTCTGCTGGTCTTCTGCAGGCACTCACTTAGCCCAAGGGCACTCAAAGCACACTGTGCAGTGAGCTGGAATCCCAGCCATCATTTCTCACTCACTAAGAAGTAGCACCTTCAGCAGCGAAACAGTAACTGTGACCACCCACTCCCCTCTGAAATTTGGCTATTGTTTTTCCTTGGTTTAACTCATGAAAGAAGTTCTTGGTAGAACTGCCCTGAGATTCAGATGCTCCAAATCATGTAAGAGAAACATTCCACAGACATTTAAAAGCACAAAGGTTCATCAGACTTCACCTCCAAACTGTGTGTAAGCCTGCTTGATATCACACAGGGCAGTGACCAGCTGTTCACAGGGAATGGGCTCTTGATACTGCAACAAGTACCTAACATGAAAGAGAAAAAGTCAAGTTTTCAAAGCTTGTTTTGCTGACAGTATCCTGCGTGGCATGTAACAAGTTCCTAAGTTAGAGCCTCTTTGATCTGGCAGTTTCATTTCAAACAATCTAATTCTGCTCTACTAAACACGTTCATTTAGATTTAATACACAGAGTATCTGGCAGCACAGGGAAGTTAAACCACATTCAGTATTATCAGACCTACCTCTGAGCAATCAGTCTCAGTTCGTTTGTTAGAACGTTGGCATCCGAAGTGATTCCAGCAACACTGCAAGCCATATCCCTGCAATCAAAGCATATAAATTAACTGACTTCCTGTCAATCTCCAGCAAATGCTCACATCCTCATGCAGCGGCTCAAGCAGAACACCTCTCTGATCTAAACTACAGAGCTGCCACAGAAAACACATTCATCAGCTCCTGCCTTTAGGGTACACCAGAAATATTGCATCACCACTCCATAAGAGCAGAGGTGGGCAGCAAAAAGTAAGCAAGTCAGTATGCTAGACATACAGTTGTGAGAAGAGGCTCCTGCCAAAGGTGGTTAAGTCCCAAGTATCTTTACAAGAGCCATTAGCTACACACAAGTGCGTTCAGCACTCTGCAATGCCAAGGGAGCCACAGAGACAGGAGAGGCCTTCAGTGGAAGATGCTGCTGACACATGGTGTTTGTGCAGCTGAAGCTTGGTGATCTTGATTTGATCTTAAGAAAAATAAGCTCTTCACATCCTGGTTTCATTATCTTTTAATTTAAGATCCCTTCTGCCCAATCTGAAATTCACCACGAAGAAAAGATGCAAGCAAAGTAATCCAGGTTATTTTGAACAAGTTCTTCTTCCAAAAGATGGCAGGGCTAGCCTAGGGGACTATTCCAGTGTGCCCCCTTGAAAACTCAGTGCTTCCCACAGCTCTAGCTGCTTTCAAGATCAACACAGGATGGGAGACTGACAGGATGAAAAGCTCTTTGTGCTTGATGTGCGCCTTCTGTCGACGATGGAGCTCCACCCCCCTTACAGGGGAGCGTAATCCTGAGCACTCTTTGTTCTGACACTGCAAATTTACCTTCCAGAGAGCTAAAAAGGAAGTCATAACAGGGAAACGTATCACCTCTGCTGCAATTACGGCAAAGAAGCCTACAGCATGTTTAACCCAGTTACCTTGTTCTCTTTGGATCACAAAGGAGAAAACAAAAACTTAAGGAGGATGCTGAGCTGAAACAGCATGGCAATTCTGGTGTGCATTCTTTATTCTGTGCCTCCAATGGTATTTTGTCAAACTGACAGTTCTGTTTCCTTACCTGCTACCATAATACCACCTTGTATGGGGTAACAACAAACAGGCTGTTCCACCTAGAACATTCTTCTAGAGGTTAAAAAACTAAAGGCAACATTTCTGTTCTAGAAGAACTACAGCAGTGAACAATGACAAGAACCACACCTGCCTGAAACACTGCACAAGAAGAACAGTCACACCTCAAATCAAAGCAAGCCAGGGTGAATGCTAAAACAGCCGAGTACCAGCACTGCTCTGATACCGGTAACGTCACTGCGCAGCCCATCACCAGTTCAACTTACTCGTTCAGCTTATATATTTTCTCAGAGAAGAACACTTCATCAAGAAGCTTGTGAATGTTGCGTCTCTCTGCTGCAAGCAGAACGCCATCGTTTGCCAGAATTCCCAAGCAAGTGCCTGCGTGTCCAATGGCTTCCATTGCGTACTCAACTTGGTACAAGCGACCTAGGAAAGGATTTCAATGAGTGGCACCAAAAGCAACACTGGATGAGACCAAGTACGCAAAGTGACTTCAGTTTGCAAGAGTCTGACAAATGCTCATTGCACGACCTGGTCTGTCTTCTGCAGTCTGTCACCAGTTAATAGTGACTGAAGTGGTTGAAAAGGAGAACAAGTCAGAGAAAGAAAATCCACAAATCTGGTAAGGTAATACAGGGCATCACTAATGTGGGAAGCAGAACTGTGCTGCAGTAGAGCCAAAATGGATTGCCAGTAACGAAAACACTTGACACTAGACATTTCAAGTCCATCCCATCTAAACAACAGAGAGTAGGAGCTGTTAGTACTTGTTTCAGCACGTGCAAGAGTAACAAGGGGAGGTGTGATCACACCAGCAGAACATTATGCGCTCTGGGGTGTGCAGCAACAAACTCCACCATAGTCCAACAAAAGACGGCTGGTGAAGATTGCTCAAGTTATCCCAAATGTGGGGCAGGCGGCATCACTCGCTGATGGGGCACAGTGCTGTTAAATTAGAGCAAGTCTGCGGGGCTGCCACTTTAGACCCTGCATGTCATTACTTCTAGCAAGTAAATATGATTTCATGCGCCACATATAGCTGGAAACACGCTGCAGTCAAGCATCGCACAAGCTGTTTGTTACTTAGCTCTGAGAAGCTGGACAGAACAATGAGAGCGGGGTTAAAAAGTACCTTCAGGAGAAAATATGGTGGTTCTGGAGTCGTATCTTCGAGACTGCAAAAACCAACAGCTCGTTACATGTCCGCGTTCTCTCCCCACAAACCAGCACCCCACGGTCAGCGAGGCTCCGCGCCGCGCATCAAAGCGGTCCCGGCTGCCTCCGCCCAGGCCCCGCAGTGAGGCACCGCTTCCACCCACCCGCCCCGCCCCACCGCACCGCACCGCAGCAGGCCGAGCCGTGACTCGGCGCGCCTCGCGGCCCAGCCAAGCCGCGGGAGGGGAGCCCGGCGGCGGCTGCCACTCACCATCGTGCCGGAGCCGCGCTGCGAGCGCCGGGGACGCGGGCCTGCAAGGGAGCACAGCGCGCGTCAAGCACGGCCACACTGCACAGTCATCCTCACCGCGCCGCGGGCCGCGCCCCGCCAGCCCGCCCTTCACACCCGCCTTCCCCCCGTCCTCCCGTCCTCGCTCCCTCCCTCCCTCCCCGCACTCACTCGCGGCGGGCCGGAGCGGGCCGCTCGGCCAACGGGGTCAGGCGAGTCCGGTGCGGCCGCGAACAACCGGGCACCGACCGCCACCGCTGCGTCGGAAATGGCCGCCGCGCCTGCGCCGTGCGCCGGAGCTGGGCGAGGCCTACGGCGCCCTTCCCTCACGCCCCCCTGGGTGGGGCTGGCGAGAGTGCCCGTCCCCTCCCGCCGCAGCAGCCATAGCGCCCCCTGGCGGGAGGGCGGTGCGGAGCACGCCGAGCGCGGGAGCACGCCGAGCGCGGGAGCACGCCGAGCGCGGGAGCACGCCGAGCGCGGGAGCACGCCGAGCGCGGGAGCACGCCGAGCGCGGGAGCACGCCGAGCGCGGGAGCACGCCGAGCGCGGGAGCACGCCGAGCGCGGGAGCACGCCGAGCGCGGGAGCACGCCGAGCGCGGGAGCACGCCGAGCGCGGGAGCACGCCGAGCGCGGGAACAGCTCCGGCGCCCGCAGCGCCGCCTTTATTGCACGAGCCGGGTGTCACCTTGCCGGGACTCAGCGGTCACCCGCGGCCCCGCCGCTGGGCTCGGCCGCTGCCCGGTGCCCGTACGCTGCGGCAGTCTCAAACCACGTCTTCTCGACAGCTTCTTGGCCCACCTCGAACATGCTCATGAGGTGCCTCCAGCCGGTTCTGGCGGTGACCATGAGGTACTCCCTGTTGTCGGGGTACAGCAGCGCCGTGTGCGCGGCTATGACGAGGGACTGCGCGAACCTCCCGCTCACCAGCAGGAAGAGGGCGCCGCGCTCCGCCGCCGTGAGCGGAAGGACGCTCTCGAAGCCCGCCAGGACGTGTCCCCCGACGCGCAGAGGGTCGGAGCTCTCGATCATCATGTACATGATCGCTATGGCCACTTCGAACACGTAATACCCGTAACTCATGTCGCTGAAATCCAGGATGCCCGACACCCTGTACTGAGGAGGGTGCTCCAGGGAACTGGGCTCTACTAGAATGTTGTGGTCATTCAAATCACCATGATTGATACCTAAACGGGGAAGAAAGAGAAACCGTATGTAATAATTCTCAAACAGCAGAATGTATTCCCCCTCCACCCCCCATTTCTAAGTGAAACAGCTTTGAAAGGACACACAGAAGTTCAGACTGACACTTCAGCCACAACACTGAAGTTGTGCCAACACCAACTCCAGTCTCCTCCAGCACCAATACTGCACTTCTGGGCACCTCATCCCACTAAGAGGTGAACAGACAGCAAATAAGGACGGAACGTGACAGGAGCTTCTTCTGCTCTGGTACCACCCGTGACAAGGCTACGTGTGCTCCAAACACAGAACAGTAGTTTTCACATTAACAAACTGCCAAATCATCAACATCAATGGGAATCAAACTGCAGAAGTAGGATTAAATGGTTATTTGGGCCTCTCTGGAAGGAAGGGGTATACTCCAAGTGTTCTCATTAAGCTCATCTAGTAGCATGAGTATCATCACCTAAACAGGAAGCAACCTCATCAGAAACAGAAAGAACTGAACCTACCTCTGGACAGCACATTGCTCCCTGCTGATCCTGTGCTGTGTTTGCCCTGCACAATATCTGCACGTGTCTAACTAGGGATGAAGGATGCTGCTTTTTCACTTTTGCTTTTCCCCCTCCCAGACCCAAATGCCTGTAAGAAATGTCAGTGTCTCGCTTCAACACAACTACAATGAGAATGAAGTACTCACAGGCTCGGAAACTGCTGAGCTTGGGTACCACTTTCCCTTTGAACTGCTCAATGACTTGTTCCACAAGTTCACGGTATTTGTTCTGGCCCAAGGCATAAATGTACTGATCCAGCAGAGGAACGTTTGCCAGGTTCCAGATGAACTGACCTCGATGCAGACTTTTTACTGATGGATGATGGAATTTCTATGGAAAACACACAAGGTAGAATAGGCCATAAGTAAAAATCTTGGGTTTGTGATCAAAGGTCTTGATTCAAACCCCCTATTAACTTTTAACAGGTTTCTGATGAGACCCACTAAAAAGCACCGTGACTTTGACCACTGCTTCATAGCAAGTAAAAGTAAATACAAGTAAAAGAATAACCTGAAGAAGGGTTAAGGGAAGCATCTTAATATCTGCATACAACCTGAATGGGTTTTCTCCCATTTTTGAGGTACAAAGATTGTCTTAAGTCACTGGTCATTAATTTAACACTGATACTGACTTTCTGTAGTGCGACGTTATGCAGTGACTGGGAGGCTTTGCCGAGTCCCACACTGGCAGAGCCTGGACCACACAGCCTGCAGGGAACAGGCACACTCTACATGCATTTAAACACGGCAGCTTCTAAGGACAAGCGTTAGGATCATCTGGTACGTGAAGAAATACTGAGGAAGGGAGTACTTTATGGAGGTGCTGGACAGAGCTTTATTGTTAAGAACATCTCCCGTGGTGCATCCAGGCAGCCTAAGTATTTTAAACAAGTAAGGTCTTTAACCTCTTTCTCACTAGCAATGAAAAAGGTGGTTTGGAAAGTGACATTCAGGGAGGAAACCTTTCTCTCCCACTGCATACATACTGTGCTTATCCTTGAATCCTCTAATGCTTGGCAAGGCAGTTTTAGGGCCAGATTCTACCAGTGCATAGGGCAAATAACAACCAAAAAACAAGAGTAGCTGGCTTCCTCCTAAATATAAGCCTATGCTTGTAATTAAGGCTCTTTAAGATAGCTAAACGATAGCCAAAACTGGAACTGTGTGAAAAAGTAAGGCACATGATCAAGCATAAGCCAAAAATCACCATGCAGGATCCCTGCAGCTGTATGAAGCACCACACTCGTAGGAGAACAGCAACCAGTGTGGTCTTCCCAGCACAAATAAGACATTCCAGCAAGCTTCCCTTGGGTTACCAGGGGTGCGAAGGGTAAGGCAAAGTCGGGAGCCCTTGTTACTGTAAAGCCACAGGCAGTCACTTCACAGGCACAAACTTCTCTCCATTTAGAGGCTATGAGGCATATCCAAGCAAGGGAGACGCCAGCAGAGGAAGTGGTGGAATCTGTGCTGTGCACAAGACAACGCATGGCCCATGGCTGCGCCGGCAAGTTGGCCAAGTGGGTTAATGGGTAGAAAAGCCAGGCTGTATTTTCTGACCTGTCATCAGAAAACTTAACGCCTTAGGGGTTCTTGTTGGTGTCAATGATACTGTGAAGTTTTGACAGTGGTGATTGGAGTTTTCCTTCTTTTGAATGGAAAACCTTGGAGGGTGATAATCCATTTGTTAAGGGCCTCCGGAGCCTTTCCCATCAAAATTTGCTCTCTCATCAACTATTTCCTCCTCAGCAGGACAAGTCACAGGCATCCTTTGAGACTGGCTGGTCTATAAGAACTGTTTTAATCGCATTATAAGAGCATGCCCAGAGCATTAAGACAGCAACAGTACATTATCCTTCCCAACTGGAAATTGCCCCTGTAATTTCAGAATGTGGTTAGTAAAGCTGGCAGTTCACATTTCATAATTGTCTGGAGCTGGCAGCCAGAACATGAGAAGGAAAGGTTAATGAAAGGCAGTAAATAATGAAAGAGTTCTTTTATGTATCAAACTTAATTACTGCCTGATTTATCAGCTTCATTATCTTGTATAATTACAGAGTAAAGAAAGAACTCACTTTGCATTAAGATTATTTGACTGGGAGTGGGGCAAATGAGATAAGTGTCACAAACCTCTGTTCACTGGCACTGGGAGGGAAGGAACCAACTGTTCCTGGTGTTAAATGGTCACGGTTCTACTGAGCAGGACAGCAAGCCAAAGTGAATTCAAAGCAACAGACCAGGCAGCTGTGCCCGATGTGCATGATACAGAAATGCTTTACATGCTTCTAGTTTGAGAACCCCAGGGCTCCCTATCCTCATTTGCCAGGTTTGCAACACCAAACAGGGGAGTTTTGCAGGAGTAAAGAGAAACCCTTCTCATCCTGCTCTCAGCACAAAGCTGCATTCCAAGAGGAGCACCAACACCCTGTCATAAGCACCAGCTGGTCATGTTACTTGGGGAAATGGTTTGGGCTCAGAGGCTGGCACCCAAAAGATGAATTAAGCTGACACCTCCATCCACCAACTTGACCTTCGCAGATGAGGAAAGCACACAGCGAGCACAAGAAGAAATAGAGAGGAGTTCATTGAGCAATGTGAGGCTGCAGGGATGACAACCCACCTCTGCGAGAGCTGTATCCAGGCTGGCAGCAAGCTTGCCAATCTCATAGAACACCTGAGGGGTTGTGGCCACCTTTGCTACCGGCGTGCCTGGCAGGTAAGTCAGCAGCCTGACCAGGTACTTCTTGTGCCCAGGGCCACCATCTAACAAGGGAAGAAAGACCCTGCCAGTCACTTTGATACACACTATCGAGGATTAGTTAATGCAAGAGGCAAAAAGGGTTTATCCCAGTGTAGAAGTCATCAGGGATAGCTGATGAAACAGATGTCATTCAAAGACCTGATTCACCAGAATGCTATAGGATGATGTGCAGACCTTCTGCACTGGACTTGGAGTCTTTGTGCTAGGGATTAACTCTGCATACAGCAGGTTCCCTCCTGTGCCAATGACCCCCTCTTACACAGTTGTGCAGCAGAACAGGTTGCCCTGGGACTCCCGGCTTTTGATGGGAAGTTACAGTCAAAGCAGAAGCAGAATGTCAATGCAGTATTTCTTCCAAGCACTGTTAGAACAGTTTTTTTGCCCCACAGTTGGGCTGGAACTGTGTTTTACCCCATTCTGTAGGGAAATAATTTGTAACATCACTTAGCCAGTGAGGCTTTCTTCCTTCTCTTGTGCTCAGAACAGGTCAGAGCAACGCTTTCTCCATTACACTGAGGTTGTTTCCTAAGTGTTTGCATAGTTAATTGTTATTTTCTCTGAGTTGCTCTCCTGGCATTGTAAGTTTGGACTATTACGGCTGGACATACAGGTCACCTGATACATAACCCCCAGTATTTAGAAGTATCCCTAGAGTTCCACTTTAGCACGTGCATGGCATCCCATACAGCAAGCTCCTGCCAAGCTCAGGGTGGCAGTGGGGCAGTAAAGGTGCTCACAATCACTCACCTGACTCCAGAGACATGATGTCACCACCTTTTGTAAGATAAGGGGTAGCTGAAGGAAAGCCTTTGGCGCTGAGAAACATCATGGCCTGGGTCTGCACTTCAATGAGGTCTGGCTGCTGGCTGTCCTCCGAGTTGGTGATTTTGAGGACGTATTCGTCAGCACCTCCATCAGCACCTTCGCTTCTCGGGACACACACGTGGAAGTTCTGATCGTCATAGCTGGGGAGCGGCCTGACCCGAGACACCTTCAACCCAAACACCCTGTCCACCAGCGCAGGCACGTCTCCTTCACCAAGGGCTGGTTTGGTGAACGCCTGCAGGTGACGGTCGTTTCCAGAGGACATCCTGTCTCTAGAAGGGAAAGAGAAGCGGGACGCTCTCATCCATGTTCCGACACCAGAAGCAGCAATCACTGCAACAAAGCACATTCAGGGATGGGAGAAGAGCCTCCTGCCTTTATTAATCAAGCAAAGAGCACCCCCTAAGCCAGGCCAGGTTCCTTACATTGCAGTTTCTTGCCAGCTGCTTACTCTGTACCCCCCCCAAAGCCTTCCATGGGGATGCACTCAGTATGGTCAGACCAGGGAGATGTGAGGAGCTTATTAATCAGGACCCTTTCTACCCCAGCTAATTTGCAGTCGCAGCCTAATCCGGCACGCTGCGACCCAGGGATGGTTTCCCGAGAGCCAGAGCTGCCGAACCGCTGCCCGGAGCTCCTGGATCCGCACCTGCAGGAGACAAGCGCAGCTCAGGCCCCTCACAGCACACGGGCTCCTCCCGCCCGCGGCCTGCACAACGAACCCACGGGCGCTCGATCGCTCTCTGCCGCTCCTGCTCTGCCGCCTGCCCGGCTGCTGAGCTCCGAGCCCCGGCCCCGGCCTCGGCAGCGACCCTTGGACCGCGCGGGAGCCGCCCCAAGCTCTGCCCCGCCGGGGAGCCCCGGGGCCTGCGCGGCCTCCCCCCGCCCGCAGCGCCCCTCTCGGCCGAGCCGCCTCAGGCGGACGGGCCCATGGACCCTGCGGCCGGGCCCGCGGGAAGCGGCGGAGGAACCGGACACCCCTCGTAGCGGCCTGGTTCCAGGCAGCGGGAGAGGGAAGGCGCAGCGCCCGGGGAGGAGCGGGCTCCCGCTGCCACACACCCACGGGGATGATCCCGTTTAAATCCCTCCATGAGCGGAGGGGTCAAAGCACAAGGCCGGTGCTGAGCCCAGCCTTTAGCCTGTACCACAGTCCTCACTGGGAAGACCGGCCCAGGCCCGGAGAGCTTTACATCTCATTATGTGTACGTACAAACCCCACACTTCACATTAACTGTCCAGATGGATGCACAAATCTCTACCTTTAATTACTGCATATTTCTGAAATCTGCAATAATTGAGATCCGGCTAGGACAGAGTGAGGAATCTGAGGGTAAAAAGGGGAAAAACTCTTGGTTTTAAGTAAACCAGCCACAATTTCAGCAATACCTGCAATAACAAGGATATTAAATTGAAAACCTTGCTTTATCCAATAGGGAATTTAGAAAAGGGAAGCAAATAAAGTTCCTTGGTTTCCTGTTCCCAGTGTCACAGCACATCACTGAAGGTGCGTGACCAACCAATACGTTTCACCACTTCACTCGCCCCTCACCCCCAGAAATCACACCGGTGTGTCTCAGGAATAAAGGAGCTCCAGTAAATATTAAGGCTCCTTCTCTCCATCCCCAAGGCTGGTGATGGTTTGCCTTACTGGAACAAAACGGACAGAGCAGGAAAGCGTTCTTGCTGTTACGGACTTGATACGTAGCACTTTACAGAACAAACTGAATACACTCCTGCTGCCTGTAAGCAACCCGTGGGTGCACGTGGCAGGCTGGTACCTCACTAGCCTTGCCTTTGTTGCCATCCAGGCAGTAGTGCCGAGATTCCGTACCTACAGGCTTCTGTGCTTCGGTGTTCCGGGGGGAAGCTCACTGCCCTTGCGAGGCAACAACACCCAGGACTGAGGCTGGACTTTGGCCCCTCGCCCTTAGCTGTAAGAAAGATCAGACTTGAGTAACTGAGCGTCTCACGTGCTAAAAGGCAGTCTTCAGAGGCGTGCCCAGATCACTTGTGGAGGTCTTGTCATAGCGGTGAGCTCCAAGTGCCGTAACCATACTCCTGCTCAGCAGCTGGCTTTAACACAGGATCTCATCTCGAGTCTAGATTAAAGTCCACATTTTCCTGAAGAACAAACAGGTTAATAAAAAATGCACCTGATATAGTTATAATAGACTGGTACCTGGGGCTCAGCCAACCTAGGACACATCTTCCTACAGCAACTAAACACCCTTTGGAAGCCCGTAAGACTCCTCAAGGAGAAAACACAACACAGTTATTCTCTTTTCCTTACCCACCCCACCTTTTCACACCACTTTAAGTGTATTTTATACAATGAAATCAAACCAGATGGTAACATACAAGAAGTGTGATACAATTTTCTTTATTAAAAATAATTTACAGCATCAGTAACATTTTATGCACAATTGTCATCAACTGAACTTAAGATATATCTATACAATACTTAACTGAACTTAAAACACTGTTCTGCTGGCTTTAAACGGCAGACACTGATTTGCAGCTGCTTAAATATGATTAATATATATAGTTTCATGTCCTTATACTTAGGTGTAAAATGTATAAACATCAATGCTCTCCCAAAGCTTCGTTTGGGAGGGAGATGGAGGGAGAGGGGCACAAGGAGAGAAGACATTTAGAAAAGCAGGAACAGGTTCTTCCCCAAATCAAAATGGAGAGAAGCCAAGGTTAAATACACCCAACACACCAGTCGTACCCTCAGAAAGGGACATTTCCTCCTGTGCTGCCAGATACCATAGAGGTCTGGGGTTTTTGTGTGTGATCACAGCAACTGCTCTGACTGTACCATACCCTGCCACTGCCAGAAAGTAGGCATCACTCCTGCCCAGCTAAAGCTCACAGGTCCTCGTAGTGTGTCCAAAGTTAAACATCTCCCCTTGGCTGCAGGGCTGGTGGACAGTGCTCACGGGAAAGGGGACAGGCACACAAGTGTCACCTTTATGTGGGTGATGGGCACCTGCGAGGGGCTGCTCGTCACAGCACCCACACTTCAGGTGTGCAGGTCTGACAGGGGGGAGGCAGCGTGCACACCTGCCAAAGGTGCCACTCACTTGGGCATACGTAGGGCTGGACCCCCTGCAGCAACCACAGCAGGAGCCTGAGGCTGAACAGCAACTGTGCCAAAGCACAGCTCCAACGGGGTCCTTCACTGATTTTAAGACAGAGGAGTGCAGCAAAATTAAAGTAGTTGCTATGGTTATGAACCCCATTGTGTTTTTAAAAGATGACTAGCTTTATGGATAGTGACATCTCATGAAATTGCACTAAAATACACAAAACTGCTTTACCTCCACAGGGCTGCATCACTGCCTCCTCCTGAAGCAAGAGCATATCAGTGCACTAGAGAGGGCAGGGGCTGTGTTCCATTCCAGCATCAGCCACCACACGTGTTTCCAATGGCTTGTCATGGTTTTATTCATCATCTGCACGAAGCAACATTTTGTGCCAGCAACAAATTCCTATCTGCTCCCCAGTAACAAACAGACAGTTTCTTGAACTGAATCATACCTTTGAGCTGGGGAAAAGAATAGTGTTAGACACTGCTGTGCAAGAAATAAGATCTGCTCAATAACTCTGGATAAAATTAGCATGTGTACCACACAACAGAAACTCATTCAGCATCCATTTGAACACAGTATTCAAAAAGGCATTGATTCATCATCCGTATCAGTGGTAGGAGTCACTGGAATGTTTTTATCTGGACTAAAAGAAAACCACAGCAAAACTAGTGAAATACAGAAACAGACTATACAGAACTTGAAACTTCAGGGAACTCTGTCCAATAAAGTAAAAAAGGCGTATCACGGTTATGCCAGTGAAGTCAAAGTAATTTGTCATTTGAACTGCCACAAAACAATGTCTTGTGACCATGTAATTATGGCAGGGTCAGGTTTAAGGAATGTCAGAAACACACTATTTAAAGATTTGAATGGTGCATCTACTACCTTCATGTCTGGTTATAAACTGGAAGCAGAGGTAAGCTAAATACAGTCCTCTTGGAAGTTCTGATATTTAAGACCATGCTTATCAAGAACGACAGGTCTTAAAGCAAAACCTTGACACTTTCTAATCAAGTTACTGCAGCTTTGTCCTTCAAAAGAAATTAATCTCCGTAAATCCTAAGTGGTGGCATGAAGCTTTTCAAGATACAGGAACACAGAAACAGGGAAGACTCACTTGGGCAGATTAGAAGCTGTCAGTGCTTAGGTAACTGGTAAAACAAGCACTTGTGCAGACACTGTGCATCTTCTGTCAGTAGTCAATAAGGAACAGGGCTTTTATCATCAGTGTGCTGACCATTACATTTATGGAAGCTGCGATGGCACAAGAGCCAGGTTTGTTCAGTGGTCTGGGATTTCAGCAGGGGAACTTGATGCTTGTTTGGAAGAGCTGTAAACTAACAGCAGATGATAAAGCAGAATGGCTGCCTCGACTATAACTTATTAGACATGGGTCATCTTTAAAGCACAAGAATTTAAACAGTCCTAATGTTTTTAGAGGTACTTTGCCTAATGATATTGAAGACAGCACAGTAACAACTGGTGTGACAAAAGGACAAACCGCATCCCTTTAAGGAAATGGGACAAGCTTCAATCGGACACTGCAGCTTCCCAAAGGCCGGGGTGCTACACTTAACTGGTGTGAGCAAAGTAACCGTGAGCATGTTTTTGAATGCAGAGATGTTTGCCATACTTCTAGGCACACAGTATTTCATAGCATGAGCAGTTTTACATCTGCGTTCAGATGAAATATAATCCCATACTAAAGGTAAGGAAGTTCTGATCTGCAATACAGGATACCACAGGCCTCATGTGCACTGCGTTTTTGCACTCCCATAACCTATAGTGCAAGTTCAAAACTGAGGGTCTGCTTTAAGCTCTGGATGCAAAAATAAATAATAATGACAATAAAGTGATGTGTGGCCTTTACCATTCCATACCATCTGCTACCCTACAACCAACACACAGCAGTACACAGAGTTACAGGTGCAAGAACTGAGCGGAAACAACTGCACAAAGTCTCCTGACATAATAACCTTCGGCACGATCAGGTTCAGATTTTGCATCGTTTATTTACAAAATGGTCTGATAAAACATCCCCTCCATACTTACAGCTCTCTGCCACAACACACATGTTGATTTTAGCAATGTTTAATAGCACCATTAGAATATTATTTAAAATCAGGAAGGATCTTGTTGCAGTAACAATGATTCACAATCTTTTACATCCATGGACGAAGTAACTTTGAGCACACTAGGACTGTTTGCAGTTCCACAGTACAGATTCCTGGGTTCACACAAGGCAGTTTCAGCATTACCAGTTATGCAAGGTACCCATATCAGTCAGTCAGTCTACTACAAGAATCTCCGAGCCACAAAGTTTAGACTTCCACCATACTTGTATAAAGTTATCTCCATGTCGTTTTCAAACAAGGCAACCACGCTGAATACTTTTCCAGTGCTTGTCTTCAAAAGAAAAGCAAAAAAAGAGAGATCAGTTAAGAGTTTGGCTTTTGCTTCCCTTGGCTCAGTTCTCAGTTCACATCCTAACCCCACATTTTGATGAACACAAGCAAATTCACCCTGCCTATCTGCCACTGCAGAGCCAAGACACTGCTGGGAACAGAATGAAGGCCCATTTTACTCCATAGTGCAGATCCAGCTGGGAGCATGCTACGTACCTGCTGTTGACAAAGAGAAAGCCATTTCCCTAAGAGAGTACAAAGCATGTTACTATGGGCATAGCATGTGTTACTACAGGTCTTCTTACACAGAATGGAAAGCTGAAGCCTCTCTCAAATACTCACACCCATGTCTTGAAAAGGGCACGAATGAGACACATGACTCCATTCTACCTTAACAGGGTTTGGTAAACAAGGCCCCAAAGAACAATCAATCATTTCACATTGCAGTACTTAGGGAAACTTCAATAACCACAGCAAATTACTATAAGCTTGCTTAAATTAGGTTTTGGTTTTTTATCTGGTTTTCCATCATCAGTTAACTTCTTTCTGTGCTTTCAATTGTCAGTACATTCAAAAGAGAAATAAAAGAAATCCTGCAAAGATACCTTAATATCCAAAGTCATTCCAGGTGACAGCTCTGGAGGGAACAATATAGAAAACTGCTCTCTGCCAGTGAGACCCAAAGTACTTGGATTTTCCCCAGGAAGAAACTGAAGTGGAGCTATGCCAATCCCAATCAACTGGCTTTTATGAACCTTCTCATAGCTTTCAGCCAGGACAGCTTTAACACCCTGCAAAAAACCCAAGTGATTTTGTATTTCAGTACAGTAGTCAGCAAAATGCAGAAGTAAGCTTCAAATACACATTATTTCCAACATCTTGCAATTCAAACTGAACAGTAAAGCAGTGCTTTCTTTTCAGCTGTACAGCTACATGAAAGCAAATGAACCAGAGCAGGCCCACAGAGCACAAGATGGAGCTCTAAGACAGTGACCATGCTGGGGTTAGCAGGTGGGGGGTTCCAGGCAAGATACAGTTGCTTCCATTACTCTACATGAATATTCTGAGTACTAGTGGAAATCAGTCTCCAATAGCTGGATGCATAGTACCCCAAGGAGACCAAAAAGAGGTCGACACTGGATAAAGAAATAATTTATCTCCAAGTCTGGAGTCTAAGACAGGAAGTTACTTAGGAAATTTAGATTTAGCGATTCTCTTCTATGAGGGTTCCAGCAAAGACATTACTGAGAAGTCTTAAAACCAAAATGTGATCTTATTGAGGACAGTTTCTGAACACATTTATGCCCAAAACTAAACAATGTGATTTTAGATATTTCCAGGTAACACAAAGACACTCCCCAAAGTCAAACAAACCAGCAGTACCAGTAAAAAAGGCCCTTTTGCAGCCCAGTCTCTTGAGCTACCCAGTCCATACTTCTTTCCTGCTAGAATAATTACAGGGATGCCTTCTTTCTGGTAGAGCTCCGCTGCTTCAAACACATCTAGCTGTGGAGTAAGCAAGTGAAACAGTGTGAGTGAGCTGTAAACCTGCTGCACGTGTTCAGAGTCACTCTGTAAACAAACACATCTTTACCGTTTGTCCTGATGGGAAGTGAACTGTTTTGGGAGCTGGCTTTCCTATGAACTTATTCAGAAGCTTAATATTTGCAAAGGTACCTCTTGTCATCACAGCATCATTACCTCTTCGAGCTCCGTAAGAGTTGAATTCACGAGGTGTGAGTCTAGAATAATAAGAACATTGAAAAGGGAATCAATTGAAAGTGATCTGGTTTACAATTATATTGTGATTTTTATAATAATTATTGCAGTATCTCCAAGTTTTCAATGCAAGACGTAAATAACTATTTCTCCAACAAATGCAATTATAAGAAATCATAAACCAAATGTGTAAACCATTACTACATTATCCATGAAGAAAACGGCAATTTTATGTTAATTTATGACATTTTTATGGAGTGCTACAAGCAAGATGGTACAAACTACATGAGAATTATGGGGAGACTGATCTAAGAAACAAGCCTGTCTACTAATCCTCTTAGCTCTACCAGCATATTTATTAACAAGCGTTGTACCAAAATGAGAGCTTTACTCCCAGATCAAATGACCATCCTGGGATTAGAGGCCCACTAAGTCTTCCTCTGTTGCTCATAATTCTACTCATTCAGATTGAATGCAGTAGTTACAGAGGAGTCCACACCACAGGCTATTATTTTGTCATGCTTCACTGATACTGCAATAATTACACACCTTTGCGATATAATGCAACAATATAATTTCCAAACCATTCAGCAGCAGCTCAGCACCGTGTTGTGTTCCGTGTCTTTGGGAATTCCAGCTGCAGGATGCTCACTGATGCAGAGGTGAGTTACAGCATCAGTCACATTCATTTAGAAAACCTGGCTTCACTCTTTTTAAAACTTACAGACACAAGCAACAGTTACTACTTCACTTATCCATGTGTAATCTCCACTTTAGGCAGTCAGCTAACAGTGCTGATCAATTATTTGGCATGGGAAGCAGTGCTCTGATATAATTAAAGCTGTTAATATGAGAAGTCCTTACCCTTTGTTGGTCAGATACTTCGCAGCAGCACTACTCCTTGCAATGCTTCCAGCAGGGGATATGTGATCTGTAGTTACCGAATCTCCCAGATAGAGCAAGACATGGGCATTTTCAACTGGCTGTGGTGGAACTGGTTCTTTGGCCTGAAAAGAGGGGCCAGGCAGGGAGGGAAGGACAGACAGACAATAGTAAAAATGTAAGGAACATTTTTCTTACAAAATCTTTACATGCATAAGCCATATCTGCAATATATGAAGGCAATGATGTACAGGCTCCACTTGTTCCAGAGATCCAAGCAGTATTTAAAGGCTGAGAAATAACCAAATTAGTCACTCTAAGAGCGAAGCTTTACTGGAATAACTGTTCTGCTACTGAAGAGTAATACACATCATCTGGCAGAGAGATGCAGTGTACTTACAAGTTTATCAAAAAAGGAAGGACATCTGATGTAAGTAGATTTTAAATCCCAGGGAAACAGAGTTGACTCAGGTGCTTCCAGCAGGTTCCATCGTTTGTTTCCTTTCTACAAAAAAGTAACCAAAAAGAACAGAGAAACTGGTTTATCATTTTTACATTCTGAAACCAAAGACCTGCTGGTGGGTTTCTTTCTACCCTATACTGCAAGTTAACCTCAGTGGATATTACTTAAGAATCAGTATTTAATACAAGTACCCATCTCAGTTAAGTCCTCTTTTACAGTAAGGGAAAAAACTGACAAACCAATCTGATTCAGCTGGAAGAAACTACAAAGCTACATGAAATGCAATCTAAGTTATGGAGAACAAAAGACCATTCTTGCCTCCATTTTTTCTTTCAACTCCTTAAACATGGCTGATATCACACACTCCTCCTCCACAGTGTGAAGTTCTTTTCGGGTGGGCCAAATATCTCGTAAATAAATGTTTTCGCCATTGAAGCCAGTGCCTAAGGAAGATTTAACAGAACAGAAATTGTGCAGAATATTAGACTTCATATTTCTATTAGAATACGAATACGTCTCTATTCAGGTATTCAGAGATGGTACCAGACATGTGAAGAATTTTATCAGTTAAGTGGATGCTTTGCTTTAGCTATGAGCAACACCAAACACGACTGTGCTTACTCTTCATGCTGAAATGCATGTGAAGGAACCTCTTCTGCATATGCATTAGATGCAGAAACCTCTTCTACACATACATGAGATGCAGAAATAGAAGACGTATGGAAATACTTACCCAAAGGCTCAGTTTCAAAGTCTATCCTGACTGTGCCTGCAATAGCATAAGCAACTACTAGCGGTGGAGAAGCAAGGTAGTTGGCACGGACACAGTCACAGAGACGCCCTTCGAAGTTCTTTGTTCCAGACAACACTCCGCAGGCAATTATATCCCCCTGAAAGGCAGAACCATGGCTGGTTTTCTATATGACTTTGCAGTACTTCAACAGCTTATGTTATTTTTTGTT